ATCCTAATCCTAATCCTAATATAACTCACGTATCTTAGAATAAAAGAAAAAGAAAATAATATAATTACTATAATAATAATAATAATTATAATATGCCTACACGACATATATACATACACACATCAATATATACGTAGTATATATATATATATATATATATATATATATATATATATATATATATATATCTAAATTGTACCCATGGGCTATAATCTTTACCCATCTTGGCTTCCCATCCAATTAGTCCATGAGACCCATTTGGTTGGTCCATTACCACTATCCAAATCCACTCCTTTAAATAAAAAATTAAAATAGAACAAAATAAATAATTAAACATTTAAGCTAACAGATAAATACAAATAAATACACAATTAAATCACATAAATTACATCAAACAAATACACACAAATAAATCACATAATTCACATCAAATAATTAAATCATTTAAACACATAAACAATAGCCATATAATCAATAAAAAAACAAATAAAATAATTAAATAAATCCTTTTAAAATCTTTTGAAAAGTAGGGATATTACACCACCTCATCCCTCACCTTCCGATTAAATACCATCACATGCGGCGGCGACAAACTTCCCATTGGCGGATTCAAATTCTCTGACGAAGTAGAAGTCTTTTGGTGGTTATATATGAGTCAGAGACTGGACTAGCGAGTTGTTCTTATTGATAACCACGATCGCCTTAAATGATAGGTAAAGTCACTATCATATTTCTTTGCTAGAACCGGAGAAACACTTTGTAAGAAGATCCGCGATTTGAATCTTCGAGGTTAATGAATTTCCAACATCTTTGAATTCACTCCATTTTACGTATACCTATACCATGTTCTCATTTTCTTCTCAAGCGGATTGTAGAATAAGGGGAATCTCAATACCCAACTCGCCTATGAATATCCTTTAATAAAATTTTGGGTAAATTACATTAACACCTCTTGAGGTTAGGTTATATCTCACCTAAATGAACATTTTGGTTTGAAATTTTAATCACATTTGGAATAGTGGTTTAGTATTTTACTTACACACCAAATGCTAGTTTTTGATGGATCAGAGTACTTTTGATGTATTAAATGACTATGCTACCATTTTGACATACGATTAACTTGGGAAAATGGTGTTTGAATATTTTTGTGACAAAACTATCCCCAACATACACCCCCACCCCCACCTAACGCCTCCATCACGAATAGGGATGGCAATGGGGCGGGTTTGGGCGGGTGTACCCTCTCCCGCCCCCGCAACCGTTTAAAATCTCACCCCCGTCCTCGTCCAAAATTGTAAAAACGTGAAACTTTTCACCCCATCCACGTAATCGTTTAACATTTTTATCCCGCGGGTACCCGTCCCGTCCCGTCCCGTTTAAGACCATAATTTAATTATTGTTGAAATAATTTATTTATTTATTTATTTATTATTATTTTTTCCTCATATTCAATTCTTCACCATTGCAACTTTCCTTTTAATAAAATTCATGTGTTACTTTAATATTGTTATATGGGGTACTTAATATATAGTGAGAAATATATATATTAATGAAATAAGAGTAAAGTAATTTGGCTATTTAAATGGGGCGGGTGGTGCGAGGTGACTACCCCACTCTTACACCAAACCCGTGCGAATTTTTATTACATGAGACCATCCCTATCCAAATAAGTAAAACGATCCTCCAAAACCGTCAAAAATGGGACGGGATGGTGTGAGGCGGGTAACCATGAAAACGGATCAAATTGCCGTCCCTAATCACCATTGCCCCACCTAACGCCTTCGTCACCACTCTCCATCACCAATGCCCCACTCAACACCTCCATCACCACCGCCCCAACCAACTCCTCCATCACTACTGCCCCACCCAACAACTCCACCATCACCACCACCCACCCACCACCCCCACCACCAAAAACCTTCCCCACCCAACACCTCAATCACCACCGCCCCCACCCAAAACAAAACCCAAAGCTGCAAGACCCAACTACAACCCAAACCATCTCACTGCACGTTCCCAAACCAAGCCTATAGCTCGTCACCGCCAACAACTAATGCCGGAAGCCATCGTCTGAACCGTACTCGATTTGAATCCACTTGAAGCAATTGTCCAAAGCGAAGCCCAGGCACCGATCAAAAAACTGGTCAAGGAGCAAAGGAAAACGACGACGATAGCGAGATAGATCAAATTGAAGACAACCAAACGACAAAGAACGAATTGCCGCCATCGGAGTTGCAGATTTGGATGTCACGATTTTGGCGCATTCAACCACACGGCGCGTAAGATCTACTAGCACCAACAGCAGGTCATGAGCCCATCGTCATGAACGAGCCGTCGCCATGAACCACACGTCATGAGCCTGTCGTCGCCATGAACCACTTCGCCACCGTGATTAAACCTGAACCTCGCAGCGAACTAACCTCGTCGCTGTCGTGCTTAAACTTTGCCGCCATGAACCAAACCACCGTCATTCCCTAACCCTAAAACTTGCCGCCGCCGCCGCCATATCCTGGCTATCACCGCTAACAACCAATATTGGAAGTTATCGTCTCTAAACCCTAACGATCGTCGACTGAGAGTTTTATCGTCGGAAGCCCATCTTCTTTTGTTTTCATATACCATTGATGTAAGGAAAGACTGATGGGGGGGGGGGGGGGGGAAGGAGAGAGAGAGAGAGAGAGAGCGTTCCACCCTATTAAGGGTATTTTTGTGTTTTTGCAATTTTGAATTTTTTTTTATTAAATTGCATTAAAAATGGGGGTATATATGACATTTCACATTATTTTTAACACAATATCTACCTGAGGTCTAAGTGAAAGTTAAAACTAAAATTTTCATCTAAGTGAAATATATCTGACCTCAAGGAATGCCAGTGTAATGTTCCCAAAAGAAAAAGGTAAAGGTGACAAAATGCCACCTTCACTATCGCCACAGAACCACCAACTCCGATGGAGCTCCGCAACAACTCATTTGCCGTGAGCATAACCTACATCCTCAGCGGTGTAGATTGGGTAATTCAGTAATTTATAATAGCAATTGAGGGTATTGTAGTAATTTAGACAAGATTGTTAGTGCATTTAACAGTCTCTCACTATAAAGGGAGATTTGTGTAGGTTAGTTTCATTTTTAGAATAGGTACATTTAATTCTGACATATCATAAGAGAAACTTGTGTAATTTACCCTTTAAATATTGATTATGCCCGCATCGTAACATTTGTTAATAACGGAGACCTCCCTTTTCTTTTTCTTTTTTCAAAATCACATTAACATGTCATGTCTTATGTTAAATGGTGTCAATATATATATATATATATATATATATATATATATATATATATATATTATTTTTATTACTTTGCTATTACCCCATTATTGTATTTTTTTAAATAGTAAATCAAATAAATTTGATATTTCAAGGGTAAAATTTTAAACTATTTATGTCAAGTTGTTAACATAGACTGTCACAAAACTATTAAGATAAATATAATGCAAAATTATGTCTTATAAGAGTGACAATATTAAAGACAAGTGTGTATGAATACCAATAAAAAAAAAAAAAAAAAAAAAACCTTACTTTTAAATAAGAACGAAGTATGCATTTCTTAATAGGGAAAAAAAAATCACAATACAATAGTCATTTCACATCATTAAGCAAATGTGATATCACCAACTAATTACGTCTTATTAAATCACAAAATCATGTATAGACAGGGTCTCACATTGCATGTTAGGATTTGATTGATGATACCATGACAACAAAATGATATTGTATTACTCTTGTGTGTGTGTGTGTGTATATATATATATATATATTCGGAAGGTAAATGTATTGTATAGATATAGGAAGAATGTACAAGCGAACGAGCCCACAACATAGGCGAGCCCAAAACAAAAGTTACACCCCAAAAAATTGAGTCCACAACAATGGAAAATAACCCATCAAAAGTGACAGCCAAAAAAATTGTAGTAATAATGTTTCTTATGATTAAAGACATTATTGTAATTTTGATTTATACTATCATGATGTTGTAGCACCACGAACCCCATAGAATTGATTGCAACCAACGAAAAATATTCAAAGTGCTCCAAAACTGAGATGGAAGAAAGTTGGACCAAAATTTGGAAAAACACTCAAAATAATAATAATAATAATAATAAATTGAAAACTGCAATCAAATGACTACAAAATGAGTCATAGAAATCCCCATTTTCTCTTACATAAATATAAAGACAATCAAAATTACAAGAATATCTATAATAATAAGAAACATTACAATAGAATCCTCATGAAACAATAAGACCGTCTAACGTTAGTTTCTCTCTAATCTTATATGGTTCAATCCCAAACTCTCACTTGATCTCGCCAAAATGGGTTGCTTTCTATGTCCCCTCCCCTCGCCCCTTCTTCATCTGCAAAGTGGTCTGTACCGGAGCTAGGTTGTTTCAATTGCTCAATTTTGATGTTGCTTACAATTCTTACAAGATGTCATGTGGTGGTGGCATTATCCTTCGAAATCAACTAGGTCATCCCGTCAAGGTGGTTTCGATTTTCTTGAAAAATGTCAGTAGTCCATCGCTTGCAGAGGGGGCCATTGTCAAGGAGTCTTTACTTTTTTTTGAAAAGTTGGGCAATTATAACGTGGTGGTGGAACGGGATTGTAAACCAATTATGCAAATGGGCCCCCATTTTTTTTTTTTGAAATCTCTATTAATAGTACATAATTTAGGTTACTAATTTAATTATAGTAGGAAAGTTAAAACTTCCCTCTAATTTTTTTTTGAAATCTATATTAATGGTACATATTTAATGTATTAATTGTGATTCTAGGTAGAAAAATTAAAGAAACAATTGTAATTCTTTCCATTTTTCCTTCTCATATTATATATAAACATGTTTTTAAAAGTAAAAATTAAAAAGGCTTTGAAATTTAAACTTTTTATTATTAACATATTTAATGTATTAATTGTGATTCTAGGTACATATTATTTTTTTTATTTGTCTCTTTTTAAGGAATGTTTACTGGAGAGAAAATACTATAGTTTATTTGATAGACAAAAGACTCTTGAAGCCGAATGTAAATTGTTAAGAGGTCTCCTTCCGGCCTACGTTGTTTCCTGTGTTGAATCATATGGTTGAATTTGGTTGGTTTGTTGGTGTCAAAAAAACAAAAAAAAAAAAAAAAAAAGATAAAACAGATAAATAGATTTAAAAAAATAAGTCTCATGTCTACCATGTTCAGTGGACGTGATCGCTTCCAATCACTACCCATCTAAAATGCGCTCCTCATCCTGAGCCTTTTACGCGGCATCGAAATTTTAAAACTTTTCACTTGGACGAAATTACCCCTATTATAGTGCGAAGGAATCAGTGACACGAAACTAGGAAGTGAAAGAAGAGGGGCCTGGCTTTTCTCCCTTTGCCCCTTTGTCTCTCACTTTCTCTCTCTTACTTTCTCTGAATCTCAAAATTCTTCTGCCAATTAGCTACCTCAAATCAGGATTTTGACTTTTCTGATCGCCGCCGGCTTCTAACACCGTCAGTTCTCCAATTCAGTAAGACACTGTCTATATACATGTGTATATATATGTATATCTTTCTCTATCTAATTAACAAGATTTCTCTATAGTCTAGGCTCTTATAGTATATGTATTGCTGGAATTTCAGAATTACTGGTATGAGTGTATCTTGAAATTTTGAATAACAAGGAAATATTTGTAATTACAACTTCGGCATTCATTTATTTATTTATTATTATTTTCTCCAAAGCTTTTACGTTCGTACCGAACATTGAGAAGTAATTAATGATTTTTTTTTTTTTTTTTTTTTTTGAATTTTGAAAATTCCTAATAGTTTTTACAAGGAGTGTGGTGTAACGGTCGCATTTTTATTGTTTGAGCCTGTACAGAGAGAGAGGAGTAAGGCAATTTGTAACTTTTCTTTTATAGGTGAATTAAAGAGGTTCATTCTGTTATTGAGAGATATTAAAGCAAAATAGAAGGCGTTATAAAGAGAGAAACTCGGTAGGTGAATTGGGATTTATGTCTTCCATGTTTTCTTGAATTTGCAGGTTCGGGTTTACATGGTTTCTCTGAATTGGGCACCTTTTTAATTTTTTAATTTTTAATTTTTACATTATTGTATTATGATTTGTGACAGTGAAAAGCTTTTATGTCTTCCATGTTTTCTTGAAATTGCCATGTTTTGTTCAAATCCTAGAGAATTAGGGTGGGTTTTAGGGTTTCGAGGAGCAGGGGATTTGGAGGATGAGGGTGATATGGTCTTTTGACCACCTGATTGGTTTAATGTTAATCAGAACTTTTGACACTTTCTTTAATATGGATCAGAAACACATTGATGTACTACTCTTTTTGGGTTTGATGATGTCCGCTAAAAGAAAGAAGGTTGCTGAAATCAATGTCTTGATATATTTGTCTACATATACATATACACAATTTCATTTTTATTTATGATTATAATCATTATTGTTCATTTTTATATATGGATTGCTGTTTGGCAGGCTTAAACAGTTGTTTTCCCAGGTTCTCTTCAGCTTTTCACTCGGTTTTGTTTCAATAACTTACTGTGGAAAAACAGAAGGTATGAAGTACTTCTTCGAACTGTTCATTAATTTCGACAATATATTTTTCTGAAGTCATAATATAATTTATTTAATTGTGTGTGTACTTGTTATTTTCTTTTTAATTGAAATCTTCTTTGCTTTCTGCTCCAATGGCTTGAGAATTTTTGTTGGTATAGCGAAGGTTACCAATTCCCTTTTAAGAGTTTCCGTAACTGAGATGAATTTTATTGCTTAAAATTTTGGAATAGAATCCCCAAGTTATTCTTTTAAAAATGTTTATGCAACTAGTAGAATACTTAACTGGACTTTTTTTTTTTTTTTTTTTCCTTCCAGTAATTAATCTTTTACTGACCATAGTTCCTTTATATTTCCATCATTGGGGTTTTTCTGTTGGCTAATATATATCTAATGGAATTTCCTCTATGCCCTTTTCTATGGTTTAAGCTTCAATTCCTTTCAGATCTTCCGGTTCTCACCAAAATATTGCATTATACATTATGTGTATATACTAAGAATTTTAAAATAGTTATGTAATGTATGCAATATTTCTATAAATATTTTTGTGCTCTATCTGATTTGGCTTTCTCGTGTCTTTAGCAATCAATTTCAGTCGAAGACAAACAGATGAAGAAGCTCTTCTCTTTCAGATCGTCCGGGTCTGGTTGTGGAAACAATAATATAGTTCCACCTCCATCAACAGAGGAGCAAATTTATGAGGACAACTCATCAGGCAATGGTACCAGTCCATGTCTTAGAAGGAGCCTTTCATTCTCATCGGCAGACTTTAGTGAGGGTGCATTAGGACAAAGGAACTTGTCTCGCTTCAGCGGTCATCCTTGCAGTAGCAGTAATGTCTCACTGAAGCAATCCGATTGCCATTCGTCTCGGTGAGGCATTTAGGTGTAGCTAGTTCTCGAGAATAAGAAGTTGCATGCATCTCATCTTTTAATGCAATTTTTAATTTTACATATGTGTTTTTCTCTATGAAACTAATTTTTCTTGTTTTTGGATTGTGTTAATTGTCGTATCCTTGCTCCTGAAAGGCAATCCAAGGCTAAATGCTTGAAAACAGTTTCTGTTCAGAACAAACATGGAGTAAAGAAGCCTGGTTCTTCTTCTTCTGCTGGGAGACACCGTGATCTGTCAGAGAGCTCTTCATATTGCTCCAGTGATGTCTCAAGTCAAGTCTTGGACAGGTACATTGATGGGGAACAACACCAGGAAATACCCAAGAGCAACCATTCTCAAAGAAATCACACCGGGCATGAGAACAATGGTGGAAAGCGTCGTCCTCCACGAGTTCAATATACAGCACCTGCTTCACCAACGGAAAGTGCAAAAGAGAAACCAAGGTCTCATTCATTTAAAGAAGCTAAAGGAACTCAACTATATTTTTCATCTAGAGATTGGGCAGAGAATGGATTTGGGCATGAATCTCCTCGGAGCCTTGCAAAGCATGTGATAGAGAGACTTTCCCGCTCTCGTGTTTTACCCACAACAAGTTCAAAAGAATTCGACCTTGATGGTCCAATTGCAGTTGAAGATATCTATGGTGGATCTTTGAAAAAATGCCCTAGTTTAAATTCAGAAGGGGTTTGCAAAAAGAGTTGGCCGCCGGATAGACTTGATGAAACCACCTATGGATATAACCACAATAAAATATTGGGCTTCCAAAAACGAACCAGCTTCCTTGATGATAATTTTGGAGTTCTGAACACTGGTGAGGTGGGAGAGGACTTGGATGTGGAACTACTTAAAAAGTCCAAGGAAGCTGATGAACGGTTCATGGTTCTTTCGGAACAGCTTGAACAGGAGAACTTTCTGCAGGACGGTGAGTTCAGTGTGTCAGCATTGATTCAGACAATTAGGAACCTAACAAAGGAGAGGGTAAGTATGGCACTTGAGGTTTCATCTGCCTTACAGGGTCGTATTGCTGATAGAGCATCTGCCAGAGAAGAACCTGAACTGGTGAGAACAGAAATGGACTCGCGGATCCAAAGACTGGAGAAGGAGAAGAATGAATTGCAGTCAGCCCTAGAAAAGGAGTTAGACAGAAGATCAAGTGACTGGTCCTTCAAGCTTGAGAAATACCAGGCAGAAGAGCATAGGCTTCGTGAGCGGGTAAGGGAGCTTGCAGAGCAGAATGTTTCACTCCAAAGGGAAGTCTCTTCCTTCAGTGAGAGGGAACAGGCGACCAGAAGCAGGATTGCAAATTCAGAGCTACAACTCAAGGACCTGACTACAATAGTGGGAGAAGCAAGAAAGGAGAACCAAAATCTGCAGCAGAATCTTTCTGAATTGGGCGAAAAGTTTAGAGCAGCCGAAGGAGATCGAGGCTGCATCCGGAATAACTACAAAGGGAAAGAGAGAGAATGCAAGGAGTTGCACAAATCAATTGCTAGAATACTAAGAACCTGTAGTGAACAAGAGAAGACAATTGACGGGTTGCGAGTAGGACTCAGCAATGAAGTTAGGCAAAAGAGTTATTCGGAAAACTTTGATAAGGTAGGGAAGTTGCAAATGGAGCAAATGAGGTTGACAGGAGTAGAGCAGGCTCTGAGGAAGGAGGTTGAATCTTGTAAGCTTGAAGTTGATTCTCTTCGACATGAGAATATAAACCTGTTACACCGTTTACAAGGCAGCAGAAAGGATGGTGGACTTTCAACTTTTAAGCTAGATCAGGAACTACAAAATCATGTTTGCTGCTTGCAGAATCAAGGGCTATCATTGCTTAACGAGAACACCCAGCTTTGTTCAAAGTTACTAGATTACATCAAAGAGAAAGCAGGCCAAACTCCAGAAACTAAGCAGGGTACTGAAGTTGTAAATACTGGTTTAGATGGTCACTTTGTAGTAGAAGCTGATATGAAAATCCAGGGTTTCAAGAGGGGAATGGCAAGCCTAAGGAGGAGTTTACAGACAGTGTCTGCTGTGCTGCACGAGAAGTCCAATATGGTCATTTTGGAATCTCATTCAAATTGCTCGGAGGATGAATTGGACCAAATAAACAATCAGAGCTTGGAGGTAAATTGGTGTGATACATAGAAGTTCATTGCTGCTTATTGCATCTTAACATGCTCTTTCAAGTTGAACTTTTACTGAACTCATATTGGTTTTCCATTTAATGTGGGTTTTTTTACCTTTCATTTTTATAGGACACCATAAGATCGGAGCTTAAAGCAGAAACTTTACTAACGAGTTTATTGCGAGAAAAGCTGTATTCAAAGGAATTGGATGTGGAACAATTGCAAGCAGAGCTGGCATCAGCTGTTAGAGGTAATGACGTTCTCAAATGTGAAGTTCAGAATGCACTTGATACCGTTTCCTGTGTAACCCACGAGTTGAAAGATCTTGAACTTCAGGTAAGCCCATGATGTAACTGTCTCATTTTCTATGGAAACTTAATGCTCATATATGTATTTGTACTGTGTGTGCTTGTGTGTGTTTTCACGCATGCAACTATGACCGGGCAACAAGTGTACATGCAATCTTGTTAGTTATAGATAAACTATCTGGAAGGATAGGAAGAGGTCCCATGGTTTGTTATAAATATATATGTGTGTATATTATTGTTATTATTTTATAATTTTAAGTAGTTTCTGATAAATTTCTGTTTGTCTGTTGTATTATTTCAATTTGTGATCTGTTGTGTTTGTTGATGCTGGAGTGGACAAGTACTTCAGTAGTCAGTGTAGTGCACACAGTTTTCTGAATATCTTTGAAATAAATCCTAGAAAAGGCTTCTCCTATCTGCTTTCCATGGAAGGTCTAAAAACTTCTCAGGTTGAATCAAGTGTTTACTCGAAAACACGCCTTACCTTCTTTAAATCAGACATCTGAAGTAGACCCTTAGATTTTTGTACCGGCATTTTAGAAGTCTAGATCCTTGAACCATATACAAAATGTTTACACTTTCAATTTCCATCCGTTTCTTCCTGGTACTATTCCATTTGAGTTGGATATCTGCTATGATATATATCCAATCCACCTAATCTGCTCTTTAACAGCTTGCACTTGTTATGCTCGGATTTTTATTTACTCACTCGTATACTGAACCTACTGATGTAACAAGTCTCGCTTGCTTTGAAATGGTAATCGAGTTATTTGCTCCTTTTTGACAGATGATCAAGAAGGATGAGAACATAAAGCAGCTTGAAAATGAGCTTGAAGAGTGCACGAAAGAATTAAGTATAATAAGGGGAATACTACCAAAAGTTTCGGGGGAGAGAGACTTGATGTGGGAGGAGGTGAAGCAGTACAGTGAAAATAACATGCTGTTAAATTCTGAGGTGAATTTATTGAAGAAGAAGATGGAGGCACTTGATGAAGACATACTTCTTAAGGAAGGTCAGATCACAATCCTCAAAGACACTCTAGTTAAACCTTTCGACCTCCTCGCCAGTCCAGATTCCGGACGAGAATACTGAGTTTGGAGTGATTGATAGAGAGGCTGCCATTTAGACTGGATAATAAATACTGTTCATACTTTTTTTAATTACTGTGTTTCTGAGTTTGTTTTCTTTTACTTTTTATTTTATTATTTTTTCTTTTTTCAAAGTTTGAATATTTTACGAGTAAGAAGTGAAATGTACAGACATACCAGGTTTCATTACTGTTTGGTTTGCCCTATCTGGTAGAAGATGAAAAATATTTTTGGATTTTATTTTTAATGGAGCAACAAACGCCCTATACCGTTAGACGAATTCTTTTTTCTTATACTTGCTTGTGAAGGGAAACCAGTGGCCTTTAACATGTTCACAGTATCAAATCCAATATAAGTAATCTCTTTCTGAGGTAATTTCTTTCAGCAGCTTTCAAAGAATGAGGTAATTTCTTTCAGCAGCCTTCAAGATATCTGTATGTGTGTGTTAAATCCAATATACGAGGCAGGGTCTCCAAGTAATCTTTCTTTCCCCTCAATGACTTGGTGTAAAATTATTTTATATATATATATATATTGATAAGTGTGTGAATTTCACAAGAATTGCCAAGTTATTACGGTGCATAAAATAACCAACAGACTAGTAAATTAGCAATACCATACCCCTACTTCAAAAATGAAAATATCTCAATTCCAAAATCTCACTTAAAAAATAAAAAAAAGGCAAAGTCTCAGTCCACCGTGTTCAGTGGACGTGTTCGCTTCCGATTGCTAGCCCTTCTAAAGGACTATCGGTCACAGTCAATCATCAATTGTTTTTAATGTTAGAGGGTTATTATAGGGTGGAGGTTCCTTGTGGAATGTGGAGGATTTGGAGGAGAGATGTGGAGTGTTCATTCAGATTAGCAAACAACACTAGTAATTATTTGAATAAGATAGGACACATTACCTTTGTGGCATAAAATGCTTCGGCAGTTAGGTACATACATAACTTTTTTGCATTATTTACATTAAGTAGATACCTTCAGACTTGAACCATTGTTCCTACAATTGAGAGCCTGAGTTTTTTTTTACATTCCTCGTGCATGAGACAGCCAACTGACAATGAGACTATGAGCAAAGTTCGGAGAAGAAAAAAACAGAACAAATAAATCTAAGTACTTCATCTTGAATTCACATCGGGCAGTCTACACATCTGCATCTGACAAACTAAGCATTAACAAGGAAGACACAGGATCTTTGCGACGAGCTTCATATTTTCGGGAAAATGGGGTCGATAAAAGCATGGTGAATGGGATCCGCCAACCAGAGTTTAGCCAACTGACAATGAGAAGTGGTGAGCCGGTGAACTTCTTCAACAAGCCAGATGCTGGCTTCAGCTTTACAAGGATGAAACAGGGTATCCAACGGTGTGTCTTCACTCTCATGACCAGTCCTCATTTGATCCCACTGTTTTAGGCGAATATTGGTGAGGTAATGCAGGGGTTGCCCATATAACTGCTTAATGGATTTGCCTAATCCTGTCCATGAGGTAAATGGAATAACAGAGCCACGGTGAATCGGGACAGGGATCAGCTTCATGTATTCTTGATACATTTCTGCCCTTCTGATCATTGCAGCTGCAATTGTAGCGAATGGGTTATGCAATAGTTGCGTTTTAGAAAGTAGAGGGGTCTTAAAGAAGAAAGCAGGTAGAAATTATAATACAACTAAGAATGCATGGAAGGAGAATTCGGTGGAATGAATTCACATATCAGCAGAAAAAGATTTTCCAAGAGATTCCCATATCCAACCTATTCTGTACATGATATTTTCTATATATGATTAATATGTAATTATTAACCTGAAATGACTTGCAAAATTGATGTAGGTATGATACGTATACATCTAAACTACTTGAGATGGAGCAGAGGTTGAAAACCAGCCTATTTTCACAAAGTAACTTCATTTAAGGGAAGAAATATTGACATGCCATATCATATATGAGCAGGTCCCAGGATGGAAGAAGCAGAGATACCAATCGGAGATATCAGTATTCCTGAAATTCGTATTTTCTCAAAATTCAGTGATAATCTCGTCAACACCACGGAAAAAGTACACTGTTTAAAAAACAATGTCAAACAAGCTTCTTGGCTAAGTCAGTGTCTGCAATGGTGATTTCCCTTCCCAGTGGTGAAATCAGTAACAACTGTGGTGGTGGTTGTGAGGCACTGTCTATTACGACTACTTTGGCGGACACATCCACCACTTTCGTTATTCCATCCATATCACTCTGTCTACCCAAACCACTCCAAACACCTGCGTGTATGCCAACCAACTGGACTTACATTCTTTTGGTCAAGAACCAAGACATTCAAAATTTCCACTAATCAAGCGCTCCAATTGGATGGAGTATTTGTACCTCATATGATCAAAATTATCTAATGCTAATGTGTCCTATCAAAAAGTCAAAGGCCAAACTATAAGAATAATAAATTTATTTATAAAAGCAAAACAATGAATAAAAATTAAATATCGATTTTAATCAAGAAATATAACAAAGTCTTGAGAGGATAGAAAACAATCCTTTCTGTAGGATGAGCAAATAAATATGTTGATAAAACCTTGTTTAGGACCTTAAATTTTCTACTATAGTATATTATAATGCCACTCCAAGTTTTATTTAAAGCCATTCCAATGCTCGATATCTCCATCCATTCTCTGTATTTACTTCAATATAATGGTTAATACTGATGTTTTTCTCACTGCTCGTTTACAGATAACATAACTCATTGAATTGTCAGGATTCCCACACTACTTGATAGAAACAATTATATATAGCCATCCAAGAGGAAAGATGGACAAAGAAAAATTGGCTTGCAGTTTCAGGACAGCATAACATCGTATATAAATTAATGATATTCTTCAATATTATTTAGTACTTTTAATAATGCTCAGCTTGATACATGAGTATGGGAGGAAAAAAAAAAAAAAAAAAGACAAACTAAAACCTAGTGATTATTTTGATCAGCAAAAGGCTGCCCAAAGCAACTCAAGAGGACCCTATACAAGTACATAAGGTCTTTTCCCCTTCAGAACCCCTCACCCCAACCCACACACCCACCAATAAAAAGGAGGAAAAAACATGAATGGAGTCCCGAGTTTATGTTCTTGCTTCAATACAAAAAAATATTAGGTCTTGATTAGGATTAGAGGAAATTTTCAAACAAGGAATCACTTCTAAATACAAGACGGAAGATTTAAACCACAACCACCAATATATCTAGCCCCACAAAAGCCACAACAGTTTGAATGGCAATATATCCCAGAAGTCAATTAAGAAAAAACGTAAAAAAAATCAGTAAGCTCAAGGAAAACTAAATCCAAGTGTTAATGGCAAATTTTTTTTTTTTAAAATAATAATAATAATAATCAACTCAACACGAGTCTTCAGCCGAGTAAAAGAGGTGATTCAAATACCTTCAGGCGACATTTCTTCAGAAGTCATTTCTTTAGCAGGTTGATCAATTTCGACATTGTCGTTCAACAGCGGGTGATCATCATCATCTGCATCAGAGGAAGAAGATTCATCTGATGAGATATCCACCTGGTCACCAAATGGCATTGCCCTCTTCATGGTCTATCAAATGCAAACCTAGATAGAAACAATCACACGTTGAATACTCAGATAAATGAACCTTTAGAAGGTCGACATGAAAAACAAAATGAAAAATAAAAATAATAATCACTTCATAAATGAAAACAACACAAAACACGAGCATCCAACCAAAGGACCATTATCGCAATGGTATAACCTCCCTATCCTCAAAGAGGAGGAGAGGGCTTCGAGCCTTGGTGTGGGTAATGCGTGTGTGAATACTTACCCGATAATAAAAAAATAAAAAATAAAAAAAGAGCATCCATGCACACATACCAAAAGGAACATGTTAATAAACCAATGTGGTAACCCCATCAAACCATAAGTAATAACCATAATTTAAGAATAACTGAATCTGAATTGGCATGACAGACTTATAATACCATCTTTGTACATTGACATATATAAAATATACAGATAAATGTTCCACTGAAATTACTGCAGCACACGTGAGGAACATATTTTTAGTTCCATGAAAGTATTTTACCATGTGGGTAAGTGTAGCTGCACATAAAAAATCAATTCGTAATTTTTTGAGCTTATATGGGAATCTAATTGAGCTTTCTTTTATGTTTGCAATTATTTCCATACAGTTCCTTACTTTATACCAAATGATGCATACTTTATATTACATGTTACAGAACGTTAATTTTAGCAGCAAAGAACTCGCCCCTAAAATCACTCTGAACCATAGATTCAAGTCGTAGTAATCAAGGGGCATGGGGGGCCATGGCCCCCCTCCAAAGTTTTTTTTCAAAACCCTTATGTATGTTACCTACTAATGGCGAGTGCAAAATAAAATTACATGAAGCCCCTTCAAAGTCCATTTGCTCTTGCTTTTAAAAATCCAAATCTAGGGAAAAATAGTATTAACAGCAAGTGTTTTCATCCTTGTAACAACATATCAATACTCCATTCAAATATACATATAAAATATTTGTATCTATAAGAATTCAATAGAGAAGAAAAGAGCACCTTGAAACTTGACAACTTCATTTATTAGCTGTCAGCATGTTTTCCTCCCTAGAATTTTTTTTCTTCTTTATATTAGTTTTCAATCTCTATTTATTAAGTCGAATTCTCCTCTTCTTCTTTAGGTTCTATATCCTTCATTTTTTACGTTATACTAAGAATAGGAAAAAACTATTATGAACATACTCCCATTAAACTCGCGCTCTTATAACCATTAAATTGCAAGGCTGCGAAGTTGACCTCTTAATCTTAAAGTCATAAGGATGCAAACTCAGTGAGAGTATCCTCGTAGTAGACATGCTCTAAAGAATATAAATTAAAAGTTGTATAGTAAAGAAGAACTATTACATAAATTTTATAATTTTTTTGAAATTTTAATTTCAAATAACTAGTTTGGCTCTGCATATTTTTACTTCTGCCCTGGTAGTAATGGTTAATGCAAACAAAGTAATTACAGTGTAACGGCATAGACAACAACAATTAATGCATAGGAAAAATTGAACACCAAAACAGTGAGTTTTTCTTTTGGTTAGCGAACTACCAAATTCCTAAAACTAATATAAATGTTTTGATGCCTGTTAGGTCAATTAAGTTGGCAAATTTCGTCACAAAAGCTTGAGTGTGTATTTTTATTTAACTTTTAAATGGTACTTATTAAAGTTAGTTAGATTAGCATATTTGGAAGTCAAAGCTATAAAACAAGAGGAAAAAGGTAATTTACCAATTAGGGTTTTTGAAAAATCACTAGTTCAGAGTTTATTTAGTCATATTAACAATTGAAGAATCTATGTGTGTGTGTGTGTGTGTGGTGTGTGTGTGTGTGTGTTACTAGTAAAAAGCTAATAATGTGTGAGGAACTGATTTGATGGAATAAAGATTAGACTATAGTCACTCTACATAGTTCATTTAGGTTCTGTTTGTTGATGAATTTAAAAAAAGAAATGGATGAGAAAGGATGGAAAAAGAAAAGAAAAGAAGAAATAATTTCCTTCATAATGTCTCTTCTTCTTTTACATAAAAATAGAAATAAAAATTTTATGAATTTCAAATTATTATCCTGATAGAATACTTATTTGTGTCAAAAATATTAATATATGAAAAGACAAACATGTGGATGTTGTAGTAGCCTCACTGTAAAAAAGTGGCAAGTAGAAGAAAGCTAACAGCATATTTGATTGTAAATGTCCAATTTGAAGCAATGAAAATAGAAATATATTACTAGTTAAAAGCAAATAACATGTAACGAACTGATTTGATACAATAAAGATTTGACTCCAGTCACTCCAAATACAACAGGTTAGTAGATCTAGTGCACTAAATAGAATCTTAATCTAGTGGTTTTTCCATTTTATGATACTATTTGTCAGTGTAAATAGAAAGATAAATTTTGGTAATATGTGTTTGAATATTTGTGTCAAAAGTATCACCATAAAAAAGTGGAAAGCTTCACTGTAAAAAAGGTGGCCGGTAGAAGAGAGCTAATAGCATATTTGATTGTAAATGTCCAATTTGAAGCAATGAAAATAGAAAACATCATGCATCTGTACCAAGCCATCCAATTCTAATGGAATCAATTACATAAACAATGTAGAGATGCTACTGTTATTTCCTAATGGTCGGATCATTTTCATTTTCAGGAAACAGTTATGAAAAGAAAAAAAAACCACCAAAAGTACTTTTTGCATCATTTTTTAAATCTTTTGTTCTCAGGAACCAAAACAACTACTCAAAAAAAAAAAAACAAGCCCCAGACTTTTTGACAATTTTTGCCTTCCTGTAAGTGCTGTCAAACATATTGCATGCAATTGTATAGATGTTTCAAACGTTTTCTACGATAGTGATAGATTTTTAGAAGGGTTTTTTTTTTTAACTCCTTTTAGAAATTCTCCTTATTTTAGGGATTTGATTTTCATCTTTTTGGTGGCATTTTATTTTGCGTTATATTTAGCAACAAGGCAAGCTGAGAGGGTGAGGAGCAAGCCCAATAAAGAAGGTACCCAGTAGAGAACACATTCATGAACAACAACTAACCCGACCAAAGAACAATGACAAGATTTATGATCACTTGTCAGTAACAGCAACTAAAATTGTGACCCGTAAAGAACAATAACCTGTAAAACTACATTTCCTAAACATAAATGTGCAAAATGGAATAGTATGAAGGAAACTAGATTATTTTTTCTAATTCCAGAAAAGTGACCAAGATGGAACAGTATAAACAAAACAAGATTCTTTTTTCCTAATTCAGGGTAAGTGGCCAAGTGCATTGTTGGATATCAAACAAGATACACCAAAAACTTATCCTCAGTAACTGCCCATCCTTGGGAAAAAGAGCTTTAGCTCATTGTCATGTCCAGAGTATTAGAACCACCATCACAAGGGTTAAAGGTTTCAAGAAGCTAAATTTCAAATTGAGACCAAATTATCACTACTTTAGTTAGATGGTCACAGAAACAATTTAATACGGAGTGTAATATAATAATATAAATTTCAGTATGGAATAGCGATTAGAATGAATGATTCATGAATGTGAATCGACGAATCAAAAAATTCTATGAAATCATGAAAAACGGAAAGTTGAACATGGAGAAGAAAATGCTGGATTTAAAAAAAATGAAGGAATGTCGGTTTACACTTCCTGTTCACATATATCAATCCCACATCAGGAAAAATATCAGATAGCACCAATAAATTGAAGTTCTACACCAAGAAGAAGCACTAACATAAACTGTAACCCGGCAAGAAATGAGGTTCTATTAAGCTAAATTGTAAATGCATTATTCTCCTGTTATACAACTTTGGTGTCTAAACAAAATTTTCACAAGGCACAAAAAACACCTGTTTAAATGTTTGCGGTTATTGGAAATATTGGGAGTTTACAAACCATCCAATAGTCCAAAGTGGCTAATGGGTGGGTTGATTCTTGGTTACAAAAAAAATAAATTCCAAACAATCATCGCCAAATAAATTTAAAAAATCCAAAAATAGGCGACACATTAGACATATAAACTCACAAACTCAATGAACCAACTGAATAAAAAATGATAAACATAGCCAAAAAAATTATCAATAGGTAAAAATAAAAAATAAAAAAAAAAACCCTAAATTGCAAGCAACCAATTTACAAGAACAATACTGTCATCAATTCAAGAAAATAAAGAGAACCCAAATGAGAAAAGCAGAAAAACACTTGCCAAACCTGAAGACTGAAGAGATTTGAGCAAGAAAAAGAGCCCTTCTACTATCAGTTATGATCCACACGCCGTGCTTCGAAGAAACTATGGGAAGAACATTTCAGGCATGTACGGGTTTCCGAGGCTGGAGGTAGAGAGAGTATTTAGAGAGGGATAAAAGAAGATTCTGAAGTGTATTGAGGTGGTGTGAAAATGTCACGTTATGTAACTCCACGTTGCATAAACTCCGACGGAGAAATCGATGTGCCGCGACATTGTGCGTTTTGTGTGTGTGTATATATATATTTTTTTTCAATATAAAGTAGGAGTATTTATTTCGGCTACGAATTTTCTAAATTAGACATCACAGATTCTTTTTTTTTCTTTCATAGTCCTGCTTTCTTGAATGTTTTAAATTAATTATTAAGTTAAAGTAAAATAAATATTATCTTTCATAATTATCTTTTAATTTTTTTTTTTTTTTTTAAATTACTTGATTGGAAACAATATATTTAAATAAAGGAGAAAACAATTTGGAATTGGGTTTAAAACGTGTTATTAAAAAAATTATTTGATTGGAAACAATATATAATAAAGGAGAAAACAAATGGGAATTGGGTTTAAAACGTGTTATTAAAAAATTACTTGATTGGAAACAATATATTTAAATAAAGGAGAAAGCAATTGGGAATTGGGTTTAAAACGTGTTATATAGGGACTAGCTTGGAATAATTTTGTTAACTATGTAATAAAAGGATATATTTGGGTTTTTAAAAGTTTTACTAAAATACCATTTTGGCTTTTAGTGTACCAGTTTCTCCTAAACGCTCTTCCAAAACCTAAAAGTTTTTAAAAAAAATTTAGCTAAACACTATTCAAAATGGCTTCCAAATTCAAAAAGCCAAAAATGCATTTGAAAAGTCAATCAAAACAAGACCTTAGTAATACTCACACCAAACTTTTGTACTGAATTGTCTAACTAATATTTTTTATTAGTTATTTATACTAAATACAAGTAAAAAAAGAATAGGTCTAGCAATTTATTGTAATTATTCAATGCAAGAATCATTTTTCAAAAATATATTATGTGTTTGATGATGCATTGTATCAAACACTTTTAATACTTAAAATTACTTTTAAATTTTTAAAATTTGTTTAGTAATAATATTGTTTAAAGCACTTTATTATAACTTTATTATCATGGCACTACAAAACTCAAATACAATATTAAAACTGAAAAATAAGATATATTATTTGAGATATTAGAGAAAACTATATCATTCTTTTCCCAATTTAGTATTCTTTTCTTGGTCTTCAATCAAACAAGCTTGTTTGTTTTTTTAATAAAAAAATACATACAATAAACTTATTCCATGAGTGGGATTTACCATTTGAAATATTGGAGAAAACTAATGGGTCACTTGAACCACTCAATATCCTCAATTACATTTTTTATTTTATTTTTTATTGGGGCGATTTGTGTTCTTTTAATTTTTTAAATTATTTTATTAACATATCTATTTCAATAATACCTATATTTATAGACTTTCTAAAAAAAAGGGTAAAGTACAGCCACGCCTCTTAAGGTTTGACAAAAGGACACTTATGTTACGTTTGATGTGCATGAATGAAATATAATGAAATTTGGAATGGAATGAGAATGAGAATGGAATGAGAATGAGTATTACCATTCTAATGTTTGGTGTGACACGATAAACCATTATGGAATGGAATAATTATTACCATTTTATTATTTGGTTGAGTATCATTAAATCTGGAAGGGAATGCCTTTTCTCAAAAATGCCCTTTTCATTAGAGGAAAGAAAAATTAAAAAATTATAACTAAACAACTCACCATGATTGAATATTTAATCTAAGAAATTAATGTAAAGGTCAAAAAATAATATATATATATATATATATATATATATATATATATATATAATGATATATCAATCTTAATAATATATAAAAAATCGTGCACCATAAGATCAACTCAAATAAAGTTAAGGAAATAAATAAATCATCAACCCAACAAAAAAACGTGCTAATATTTCCAAGTACTTGTGTAATTTTTTTTATTATAGATTTCTTGAAAATTCTAGTTTGATAAAATTCTAATGAAGTAAGGTTCTCCAATCATCCAATGATGAACTTGACTAAGGGTCCAAAAGTCAAACTAGTCCACTTTTGGTTCCAGATAATTACACAAATGTTTCAACGCAAAGATACAAAAATAATAATAATAATAAAAATAAAATAAAAATAAAAAAGTGATATACTCAGAAGATAAAAGAGATTTAATACCTACTTATCAAAAATAAATAAACAAAGAAATTAATACTTATAATTTGGTTGAAAGTCCTACAACTTTTTTGTTAATGGCAGCTCTGGGTATATTCAGAAGAGATGGAAGATAAAAGACCTTTACCACGTCTAATAAAGAAGCCGATAAACATGAAAAATGAAATGTGAAAGATTTTTAGTGAATGCGAAATATTTTTGCCTTATTGGAATGTGATTAAGGGCTTATTGGGAATATTACAAAAATATTTTATCTTACTATGGAATGGAATGGCCATTCCATAGGTTTACTAATGGAATGAATTTTCATTATCTGGAATAGATTTTCATTCCATTGGAATGGTCGTTCCATTCCATTCCTGCACACCAAACAACTGAATAATTGGAATGAGCATTCCATTCCATTCCATTCCTGCACACCAAACGTAGCATTAGAGGAAACTTATCTGTTTTTTGGACAAAAACACCCCTTGAAGGTTCAAAAATGGACAAAGATACCCCTTTACATGATAAATTGACCAAATTACCCTTTGACCGTTTAAGTGACTTTTTCAACCTTACCATTTACTAAATTGGACCAATCTACCCTCATGAACAATTTATGCATAAAAAAAAGTTTTAAAAAAGAAAAACTTTATATTATTCACTTTTTTTTTTTTCTTTTTTTCTTTTTGTTATTTACTTTATAAATGTCCCAACTTCTTAAAAATGTAGACGTCTAAAATAATTTTTTGATCCAATACATATATTTCAAATAAATTATATTTTGTTATTACTTCTTTTATTTTTCTTTTTTATTTTTAAATTAAGATGCTTAATTCTTTCATATAAAAAAATTAAACCAATCTATTTTCCTTAACCACCTTTTTTTATAAATAAATAAGTACGCCAGTGTAGATAGGATGACGTGCCTCAAATCCAACAGGTTAAAGAAAAATGAAAGAGGAAAACACATACACACACATAACATAAACCACTAGACAATTGCCAGAAACTATTGATTTATTTATCTATTACAGAAGGTTGACTCCATTTTTATATTGAGCTGAAACTAATCCCTACTCACATACACAATCTTATGCATCAGGTAACTCGGGAAAGAGTTACACTTGAAATGCCTCAGATTGTTGATTTCTTTGAGGTTTCCAAGAAATTATTGATTTTCTCTGAAATTTTGTTGACAACTTTACTCCTCTACATGGAGGCAGTCAAGAAAAAAGAGCTAGAAATACTTATTTAAAAAAAAAAGGTGGTTAAGGAAAAAAAATTGGTTTAATTTTTGTAGATGAAAGAATTAAGTATCTTAATTTAAAAATAAAAAAGAAAAAAAAGTAATAACAAAATATAATTTATTTGAAATATATGTATTGAATCAAAAAATCATTTTAGACGTCTGCATTTTTATGAAGTTGGGACATTTATAAAGTAAATAACAAAAAAAAAAAAAAAAAAAAAAAAAAAGTGAAAAATATAATTTTTTTTTTTAAACTTTTTTTTTATGCATAAATTCTTCATGAGGGTAGATTGGTCCAATTTATTAAATTGTAAAGTTAAAAAAGTCTCCTAAACGGTCAAAGGGTAATTTGGTCAATTTTTTATGTAAAGGGGTGTCTTTGTCCATTTTTAAACCTTCAAGGTGTCTTTGTCCAAAAAACAGGTAAGTTTCTTTTGAGTTTCCTTTTGCCAAATCTCAGGGAGTGTGACTGTACTTTATCAAAAAAAAAAAAAAAAAAAAAAAATCTTATATTTAGCAAGACGGAACAACAATTTCATTACTACAACCCACCACTTCCAGAAGCATGGATTAAGGCCAATTCACGGTCACGTGAGGAAAGGGCAAACAGGTCCTTAACAAACACTCAGTAGATGGTTGAGGTAATTTCTAGGAGTAACAGACAGCTACAAATATATGTGTGTGTGTGTGTGCGTGTGTGTGAATTTCTGTTAGTTACAATGGCAACCTAAGTACCATGTATTAACTATCATCCATTTCATATTCCCCTGGTGATTTCAGCGATCATTGGGAGTTGATTCTAGTTATATTATACAACTTATTACCTGAGGTGACATGGCATATCCAATTTGGCCACCCCCCACACACATTAAAATCAACAGGTCAACAGAATGTCCTTTGATCCACTAAAGCTTGCATCCATTTTTATTGAAAATAATATTTCTTTTCCCCTTATAATGCAAAAATACTGGAAAAAAGTAGGGGTCGCCTATAAAACCGATACAAGATCCAGAACACATTGCCGGCTCACCATGAAACCAACAAGCAGTTACAAAAAGCACATGATTGTCTTATCCCTCATGAAAAATACAAGCAGCCAAATGCATACTGGCTGTCACTTATAATCTGTGTACAGGGCAGTACGAGGACTGTGCACGTCTTCTAAACTCACAGAGAAGCAGATTTCCAGAAGTCAATGGACTTCCGATGCTGGAAAAGAGAAAAAATAAATAAAACACAAAAAGATAGCATTAGAATTGTTAAAAACTAAATTATCAATGGCTGCAGTGATTTTTGAAAATAATAATATTCTTTATGCATACGAGGTAAGGCATGCTTGTGGTTCTGCATAAACATAAAAGAGATGACTACCCAGAATCTCCTACAATGGTACAAATAAATTAAACAAACTAATCCCGAGAATCTCCACACTAGTACCAAACCAAGCAAAAAAGAGGTTGCAACATAGTCTCCCCTAAATTGATACTGAGAAGGGAGATTCCTACTTCATATGAAACACAGTTTAAACCAAGGAACCTCTCATATTGGCATCACTGCACCGCAAAATATTGATTTTTGTGCTTGGAAGAGTTGATGTTTCTTTGGTTCCTGCTCCTCTAAGAGCGAGCACAGTTATCAAGTCAACTAATTTTCTGTCTACATACCGCACATCACTTCATTTCGTCATTTTGAAAGCAGGATGAAGATACTTATAAAAAAAAAGGCGGGATGAAGATGACAGGTGTCACATGACTAAAGATAGTTCAGCACAAAGAATGAACGAAAGAAAAAGACTGTTCAACTATTTTTGAGAACCCATAACTTAGGTTGAAAGAAATAAATTAATAAACTTAAATGATGATAGACCAAAATGATACTTTTGGTAAAAATATATGTGGCATGTGTGAAGATTATAAAGTAACATCAACTATCATGCTCTTACATGGATAATAAAAGTAGAGAATACAAAGACAACATTAATTAAAACTAATAAACAAATACAATTTGGATTCAACTGCTGAGTGGAGGGCCAAAGAAAACTCAATTAGTCCATTGTACTATGCAAACATATTTACAGAATTTACCTTGGCAATTGGCATCTTTGCTCTAACTGAATCAATCAATGAGAAGTCAATATCTGCTACAGCAATGCCTGTTGATAGGCGATCTGAAGCAGCCAAGGAAACAAAAGAAAGAAAGAGCATGAATGATTGACATTAATGAAGTTGTTCACGCTCACTTCTGAGCAGAAACAAAGCACATGTATTCTATTTGGGATAATAACTACGATGATGCGGAACCCATCATTAGATTATTCCAATTCCAGCAGATAACATCCCTGTGACAAGATAGAACCTAATTTATTGCTGTAAAAAGTCTGCATAATTTTTTCTTTTCTTTTTCAGCAAACTTGCAGGAAATATACTTCGATTTATCCAATCGGACAATTTTGAGCTGCAAGTTTTTGGAGTATAGTTCAAGAATCATAGACATGGTGAAAGTGTAATTTGGGATATTACTTGCACAGGGCAGTTAATGATTGGTAGATGGCGGCAGTAATGTTGCTACTAGAAACTCTTCATAATTTGGATATGTCAAAAGGAGAGAGGATGATGTGTTGGAAGGCATAGCAATTGGGTAAATTTGAGGTTATTTCCTATCACAAGGTGCTGATGAGATCTAATATAGATTACTTTCCTTAGGGAGGAATCTGGAGGGTTACAATCAATTCCAAGGTAAAGTTCTCCTTTAGTTGGCAGCTCATGGGAATATTCTGTTGAATGATGAATATGGAGGTAAAGTTCCTTCCTAATTTATGTTGTTTGAGTATGAAGGTTGGGAATCTGTCGATCACCTTCTAATCCAATGTAGAGTAACTAGGAAGGTTGTGGATCTTTTTGGAGTTCCATTAATCGTTCCTAGTTTGGCGGCCAAGCTTCTTCATAGTTGGAGAGAAATTTAGGCTAGGAGGGAGAGTAAGACTTGAGATGGTTCTCTGCTTTGTTCGATGTCGGTGTATTATTCTTCTTTGTTCACATGTATGCAAAAGGTTCACCCCTTTTGGCACTCTTTGATGGTAGTCTCACTTGTCAAAAAGAAAAGGTCTACTATAAGAATTTATAGGCTACCGTTAAATGTCTTCAATCCTATCTATATTCTCTTCCACTGTGTGTGTGTGTTGGGAGGGGGGCTGTTTTGTCACACATGACTCTCAAGCAAAAAGTAGATTTTTCAAAAAAAAAAAAAAATCTATTCACATTTGTTAATGCATTCAAATTCAATTACAAAAATGGGCATTTAGAAAATTTACAATACTTTACAGTTTGGCTTTTCAAAACTGACACTTAATATGGAATATCCAAGAAAGTGAGCACTGACAATTTAGATAAGAGGAACAACTATATGTGCCAAAGAAATACAATTGGGTGCTATTTCCGTATAATGGAACTGATGTCTAGATCTACTAGAGAGTATGGGTTATACAAAATATAGAATTTCTAACAGTTTGCTATGATGGGAACAGCAGTTGGTAATGATTGTTAAAATATGTTTTAGTTAATGCATTATATATATTTCATCAATATAATGAAGTAGCTAATTACTGGTCATTAATAATCACAAATTATCTAAGGCGGGCTTAAATTTAAAGCGTACATAATTGACATTCACAACTTAGTTGCAAACATGATCCCAACTTGAGAACATGCATTTGCACTGGCGTGAGAGAGAGAGAGATTTGGAAAAAGGATAAAAAAAAATTAAAATTTTATGCAGAGGTGAGAAAATCATAAATGAAATGCCACAAGGCAGAAGGAAAAGATTCTCACCGGGTAACCGACCAACTACGGTTCCCCATGGATCAATTATTAAGCTATCACCATAGCTTTCCCTTTTGTCATTATGCTTTCCAGCTTGTGCAGCAGCTATGACCTATAATACATTTATTGTTGTTAATGGCAGTTGGCAATTGAGCATGAAAGATAATCTAGTCAAAATTTCAAGAGAATAGGAGTAGAATTGAACATCTCAAGCCATCTGAGTATTGATTCTGAGGATTTTCTTTAAAAGCCTGGAAAAAGAAGTTATTTCTTTTGGCCTAGGAAAAAAGAAGGATGGCCTTCCAATTATATGTGACGAGAACATTGACTTGTCTCAATGTCTGACTTCAATACAAAAAATAAAAACAATTAAGATTAAAAAAAAAAAAAACACAAAATGGGATTGAAACCTCAAATGATGCAAATTATGCAAAAATGTAGGTATGTTCAACACCAAAAAAAACATTTGAACAAATGTGAGTGTTCAAAACTTTTGAAGGTTATAAAACTCACTCTCTTAACAATTTAATCTTTTTGTAGCTCGAAGTTCAAATTATGATTTAGGAAAACAAGTAATCATACTATAATTTAAGCATGAACCCAATGAACGTTGTTAGAGTTAGACCATAACAATATAGCCATCTGCGGACCAACAATTAGTTGTCCTCTTTGGATGTGCATTGAGCCCAGTGACTGCGAAGGCCTTAGGTATGCTCCAGTATCATTATCTTTATGAATGTAATGTTGTTATGCAACGATAAGATGTGGACAACCGACACAAGGGTGCCTAGCAGGTAGAATTATGTTCAATAACTACAGGAGCAAGAGCCCTGTGGGACATTAAGTTCAAGGCAACTTATTTATCCTATAGAATGCCAAGATTTAGTTTACAAACCATCACAATGCTTCTAAGGTTCCACTTCCAGAAAGCTATTTTTCCCCCTTTTTATCTTTTTCAAATAGGAACATCATAATTGCTAGATTAGTTTATTAATAACTACTAGGACAGCAATTAAACAATGATTCAACCAAAAACTAAAAGGTATATAGTTACCACATTTCATACATGTTTGGGGGAGGAGGCATGTGTGGACAACTCATACATGGGCTTAATTTTTGGAGAATATAATCACCTACATGCTAAGACAGGAACTAAAAATAAATAAATAAATAAAAAATTAACAAGCACAATTAAAACAACAACAGAAGCGAGAAGTGAACATAAAAATATAAGTGACAAAAGTTCCATACGTAACATTGAGTTTCAATTGCACGGGCACGAAGAAGAATCTCCCAGTGGGCTTCACCTGTTACTTTTGTAAAAGCTGCTGGTACCAACAAAACCTGCAGAATGGATTAGAATGTACAGGTGTTACTCGCCAAAGAAGTTACTATTCAAAGATAAGGAAACCCCCTGTGGCCTGTACCTCAGTACCTGTGCATCGTGATGGAACCTTAGCTGCTGATAAAGCTCTGGGAATCTCAAATCATAGCAAACTGTCGGACCCAAACGTCCAAAGGGGGTGTCTACCGTTACAATATTGTTCCCTAAAATACATAAACAGTTTAAATTGCTCAAAAATTAGAAGTCAGTTGAGCCAATTCTTTGTGTTGAGGTAAGAACATTCCCTAGTAAAACAAAAGAAAAAAACAGATAATAAATTTCACATGTCAATACAATAAAGAAATATTCGTCCAACATGGAAAAGTCAAAATCAACAAAAACCAGTCCTTTGTGACACAACTGGTTCCTACGCTTCTAATCAGGAAATAACTTACAGCCCCTAGGTTACCAAACATATAAACTTAACGAAATAGCACTTGATTTGATACAAAAATCAGAAGGATCTGAACAAATTTGTCTGGGAGTTATGCCATTTATATACTATGGATAGGAAGAGAAATTTGCACCAAAATTAAAGGGGAAGCCATTTGATTTGAAGAAAACAAGTTATATATATATATATCACATGATTTGCATGCCATACCAAAGCAAATGAAACAAAAATGAACAACAATGAAGGAGGACTTGAAAGAAAAATAGTTCATTTAAACATCGAGGGATATGGTATATAAAGAGTTGCATACCTGCTTCAGTAAAGCTGCTTTCCTTGTATACTGTACCTCCAGGAACGTCCACATCAAATCTTTAAAATTCAAAAATATTGCTTTAGACATCAAATATCAATAAGCACGAGGGATATAGCTACGGAGATTATCATTTGATTGCCAAGGCTTGTGAGAAATTTTACTATTTATTTATGTTAGAGTGAAAAGATAAGATCAGATTGGAACCCAGGGTCAAGAATCTCACAGGTGCATCTTTCGGAATGTACTTCTGATATTCCCAGTATCATCAATCAACACATGAGTGTTTCTTAAGTGTGCATCATCAACTTTTTCTTGGAATCCTCCAAGTGACAACCAAATATTTGACTCCCTGCATTTATAACAGAAATATATTATTTGACTGAAGGAGCCTTAACATGCACAGGCAGTTCCTCATGCCACCCCACTGGAAACCATGAAGAAACAATCTCTCTCAGCAGAGTCACACATTAACAAGACAAGAAAACTAAAACATTGACATAATCAAGTCTAACCTATAAATTCAATTGAATTGTGAAATAAAAATGTGAAATAGTAGTATCGATTTCAGCTTTGATTTATAAACTACAGTACATTACATCTAGGATCAGTTAACTGAGATAGAAATAGAGAAGGATAGTTTAGTTACCACGGTCATACCTTGCAAGAGAACAATACCCTTTCATAATTGGCCCATCTAAAGTTTCAGCAATCTTAAGACTGTCCCCATCCTTAGCACCCACATAGGAGAAGTTTTCTGGAAAACAAAGCAATTTGGCCCCAGTGGAAGCAGCTTCCTTCACACATAAATTCTCAAAGTAAATTAAAAAAACTACACATGTGTGTGCGCACGCACATGTGCAAGTAACTGGAAATAATTTATTGTCCAGGATGCTTAATGAATACGGATAAGTGACACTGGAAATTCCTATATTATGCATGTGACATCTGTGAACAAGCTGACTACACCTCGCTAAGAACACATACACAAAAACAAGCACAGAGTAGCACGAGTCTTGTTTTACTTGATGACGTTTGGTTCCTCAGAAACCAGAGAAACCAAAATATACAATAAAACAAAAAAATTAGATTCAGTTCACAATGAATGAAAAAATCATTTCAGTTCATACAACTAAACCGCAGGGTGAAAGCTAACTTTGAACCAACCACCAGAAAATGTAACACTATAGAAAAGAAAAGAAAGGATAGTTTTGTCTGTTAGCAAACAAAAGAAAGGGAGAGAATGTGGCAACCATAGGGACAAGTCTCCAAAGGGGCAAAGCGGGTGTTTGAGTTTCAACTAGGAAAAAAAATGTGGCAACCATCCCCTTGTTTTAAAGTTTTGAGAGAGAGAGAAAAGGATATTGATAATCCCTTCCCTTCCTTTGGAGTTACTTCAATTTTTTTGTGAGTTTATAGGAGGCACAAGAGAAAGAAAAATAGAAAATCACTTCTCATAAAAACTAGAGAGGCACAATTGTCCCCATGAAGCACAGGTACTTCTATAAGGGTAACGTATCTTTATCATATTCGTATTGGTTATCGGTACTCCTAGGACACTTATGGATGCGTGTCCAATACTTCCTACATGTATCTGTGATTTGCAAATAAATTTTATTATTTCGAACACTTATATGCGATATCAAATACTCCAACTAGTCACATGTCTAACAGCTTTTGAACATTAGTATCTAACTTTTCTAAGTATATTACTATAGTATATTTGCTAAGAAAAGGATACCAAGGGTTTCAAATACTTAATATTTCTTCAAAAAAGAACAATTGATATAATGAGAATATATTATGTCTAATTTAGTTCACAGTTTATATCCATGCAATATAACTCTCTTAGACTGTTTCTTATAATTTATAGGATAATTCTAGTAATATTAATTTTATACATAGGTATATGCATATTTTAATTTTTACACATATCTACTACAAATGCAAAACATATACATATATACCAATGTCCATGCTTCGTAATGGATGGTCTTTAAAAAATTATCCTTTCCCTCCTTTTCCTTCCATTTTTGGGAAGGAAAAAATGAGATAGAGGATTGCTTCAGTTTAATTCCCATTTGTCATGTTTTCTCTCCATCTACAATTCCCCTCCCTTTTTTTTTTTTTCCCTTCTCCTCCCTCCATTTTCCTGGTCCCAAACAAAGTGAAGACTCCAATTCTCAATTTCTGTCTCTTTTCTTAAGGTTTGACATCAATTATATGATTATGATAAAAAAAACAGAACTGTAAGAGTCTTAGGTAATTCGAAAATTCAAATTAATAACATACACGCTTATCAATGATTTGACCTAAAACGATAAACATAAGCTAAATTGAGATTTCATATTAAAGATCATAGCTTTTATCTCCGTGTGTGTCTGCGTAGAGTGTATATGATAATACAAAGATAATAGAGAGAGATACCTTAACAAGGCGAGAGCAGGTAGCGAAATTGGCGGCGAGGTCGTTGACGGAGGTCATCTGAGCGACGGAGACTCGGACTGAGTTGGCCATGGCTGACTCGCTGACAACGGCGCGTATGGGCACGAACTTAAAAGGAAAATTTGTTGAGTTTGAGTTTGAGTTTGACCTTATTATTGGAAGAGGGCTGTTTGGTTGTGAAAATAGACAAAAATGCATCCTCCTTGCTGCCTTGTCTCTCTACTGAGAGCGAGCTAAGCATATTTTTATTTAGAATCCACGCATGATTATGGATCGCAAATCAGAGATCAAGTTATTTGGATTGTCAATTTTCCTTCTAACTTGGAAATATAGCATAATCTGATTGACATTTTTTTAGAGAGTTGAATTATTTTTTTTGAGCGTTTGCCTTCGGTGGTTTATTTTATTTTATTTTATATTGGTGTTATTTTATTTATTTATTTTTTTTAAGCTTTTTTTTTTTTTTTTTTTTTCTTTTCAAATTGTAATGTTTTTGTGCATAAGATTATAAATCAAATTGAGTACAAACCAATTTAAAAAAAAAAAAAAATTTATTTATATTGGTGTTATTTTATTTATTTATTTTTTTTAAGCTTTTTTTTTTTTTTTTTTTTTTTTTTTCAAATTATAATGTTTTTGTGCATAAGATTATAAATCAAATTGAGTACAAACCAATTTGAAAACAACTATCTCAACTCTTTAGATTGTGAGTTGAATTGGAGCTCAATTTCAACTCTCAAAATTTTAATTTTTATGTATTTTATATTTGTTAAAATGACTATTGTGCGTGTATGGTATGACAAATGTGAAGGGAACACAGGACGCCATGCCTGGTTGCAACACCATATTAATTTATTTTAATAATACATTTATACAACATATTTTATTATTAAAATTATAATTTAGTAGTATCCTCTTTACCTACCAAAATTCTCTCCCAGTTGTTTGTGTTTTGTTAAGTTTAGTATAGTAAGTGAATTACTCTGGTAATTTCACCTCATAACAAATATAGTTATAAGTATTTTTTTGAAATTTTTCATCTCTCATCTGCATTTTAAAAGATAGAGTTCGAGATGAGACTGCGAATACTTTCTTGTTTATGAAAACAAAAATGGTATATGACTTATTTTCTTTTCTTAAATAAATTGTGATTTGTGGGTGAAATTGGACAGTTACTAAATTTTTTTTTATGTGGGTAGGGTGGTGTCCATAAATTAAGCTCATTTAGTTTTATTATGATGATTAGAGAAAATTAGAAAAAGTGTGAGTGTAATTTGTCTTATTTATTTTCGGAATATAATGCATTGTAATAACTTTATTTTAAAAAATGTACAGTAATATTTTTTTAATTAACATTTTCGAAATGATTATATTCTCTATAATGAATATAGTACAGGTTGATGGTTAGGTTCATGTTTTGTGTTGGTTATGATTTGAAATAATTTATAAGAAACTGTCAATCCAAATCATAGACCACAAAATGGCCGCTCTGAATGTAAGCTACCATTGCACTACACCAGCTTCGTCACGGTCTTCCTGAGAGTCTCTTTCCACTCCTTTCTCTCCCTATCATCTTCACTCAACACCTCCACCGCTCTCCCATTCCCAAACACCATCCTTCTCTGACCTCACCCTCCATCCTATCACTGTTTCCACACACCTCTTCGTATCTGCTTCGCTAAAGCCAGAGCAAAAGCATCACCCACGATTATGGCTACCGGGTATGGAAGAAATTTCTATTTTATTTTCCGTTTGTTTCTCCAGAAAATGAATTAAGAAGAAAAGGCATTGAATTACACGGATACCTGACATGGGTTGGGTGAACCTTTTGTTTTTACTCACTTGAGACCAAAATAAGAAAATTGAATACAGGATTAGTTTATTTTCTCGGCAAACAAACAGTGTGTAGACTTTGTTTTGTAGTTTTACTTTGATGTGGATTTGAGCTTAATACTTTACTCTTCCTCTCTCTCTCTCAAAGCGTGCACGAGTTTCTTCCACCTGCTCTTGATTCTACTTCAGACCCACCTTCTATCTTCGATGGAACAACAAGGTTGGTTCACAACTTTACTTTAATTTGTTGTGGTTTTTCAATTGCAATTGTGTTTTTGTTTTTTATTATTATTTTTAATTTCTTCTCCTTTGCGTTCTCAGTTTCCACAATTGTGTCAAGTCCAGAGTACATATAGACGTTTTGCAATTTTCTATTTTTTTAATTGATAACTGACATATTGAAATTGTTGCCAAATTCCTCATCTAAGGCTGTATATATCTTACACATGCCCATATGCACAGCGCGCGTGGATAGCCCGGAACTGTAAGGTTGTTTCAAGACCTCTTCATGATCTGGCCTTTCCTTGTGTGTGTGTATGCTGTTATATATAGATAATGTGTAGATATATGCTACTTATTTTGCATTATTTTGGGAGCAGGGATTGCAGGACAAGATAAAATTGGTTCCTATTGATCTGCAAAACAGGCCATCTTGGTACAAGGAGAAAGTGTACCCACCAAACAAGGTGAAATTATTTGAATCCAATGTGCTCTTGGGGTATTCTGAGTTTAGATGTTCAATGGAAAACAAAATGGTTCCACTATACTTAATGAATCAGGATCAAAACTTAATACGTATGTGAATCAAGATCCTCCCCGTGTCTTTTTTAGGTCACGTGTCTGTCCCGCGCCTTTAAGTGGCTAACGCAACAACTATGTAAATGTGTTAAATTCTCGATTTAATGGTGTTATAGCATTGCAATACGATGTGAAATGTAGCACGGGTGTTCCTCCCCGTGTCTTTTTGGTCATGTGTTTGTCCTGTGCCTTAATGTGGATAACGCAACAACAATGTAAATGTGTTAAATTCTCGATTTGGTGTTATAGCGTTGCAATAAAATGTGAAATGTAGCACGGGTGGTGTATCTTCAATGTGATGTGTAACTGCGTGTTGCGTTTCGTGATGTAGCTATTGCATTGTGATGTAGCTATTGCATTGTGATGTAGTGTGTTGCACTATTGATGTACTGGTGCACAAGATCCCCTAAACAAGAGGGGATCCAGATCCTTAATGAATCAGGACCAATACTTAATATGTATGCAAATTCAACCATCTTAAATGTTAATTGCAACACAACGGAACGATCTATTTGCTCCCTATTCAGTTTCATTTTTTTTTTGGTCAATAAGTAAATTCATACAATGAGCTGAGAACTAATAATTTTAGTATTCTACCATCAAATTATGAGCTAAACAATACATATCATGTACAAGTGAAAGTGAGCCAGACAGTTGGCTAAGCTTACATCCCATTCACTACTTCGCTTACAGGCATTATATCACTTGAAATTTTTATGCAGGTGCCATCTTTGGAGCACAATAATGAAGTGAAGGGAGAGAGTCTTGATTTGATCAAATATATTGACAGCAACTTCGAAGGGCCTTCGCTCTTCCCTGATGTAAGATTTTGTAGAGTTTTGCTTTCTTTTTATGTGTATGCTTTCCTTTAGCTCTATATGTTGAAGGGCTGCTCAAACATACACCGAAAATGCAGGATCCTGCCAAGAGAGAATTCGCAGAGGAGTTGTTCTCCTACACTGACTCATTCAAAAAAGCCGTGAGTACTTCATTCAAGACGGATGGAATAACTGAAGCTGGTGAGATGAACACTTGCTGCTTTTAAGGTATTTTTATTAGAAAATTGACAAAATGGACTAATGATGAACTGCAACAGGTGCTGCTTTTGATTACATTGAAACGGCTCTTTCCAAATTTGATGGTGGACCTTTTTTCCTCGGCCAGTTCAGTCTAGTAAGTGGAAACCTCTCATTTGTTATCATATTTGTTGTCTGCCTTCTGTCAAATGCTAAAATACTAGGAAGTCTGAGGTAGATATGCAAAACATGATAATCGAGTTTTACCCTGATTCAACTGGTACATGGTCTTTCAGAAGGTTTCAATTTTACCACATTAATTGAAACTGGAAAATTGGGTAATATTATGTTTTGTACTTCAGCATGGTGTTTTGCCTCTGATCCACAAGTGGTACATTCGTGACTCCAGGTGGATATAGCTTATGTTCCATTCATTGAAAGATTCCGACCCTTCTTATTGGAAGTAAAGAAGTATGACATCATGGAAGGCAGGCCAAAGTTAGCTGCATGGATTGAGGTATGAAAAAAAAAAAAAAAAAAAAAAAACTTGTTCTCTTGTAACCTTGTGTATATCCTGGTTATGCATTAAATTGTCACAATATATCTACGGTACATTTCTATAGTATGAACATGACTCTAGGTGGAGGTGTCTAAGGGACTGACAATTGAAGATTGACTCTCTAAGTAGTAGATTTGATGTTTAATTTACTAAATTTTGTTTTAATCTTCCAATATGTTTTATTATTGTATCGGGCTTCCATAAATACTAGTTTCCTGGTTTCCAAAGCTCAAACCAATCGTTGAAGTTTAATACTCCATGACCATTGACAACTTATTCATAAATTTATTCCACATTGCCACGCTGGAGGACCAAATATCAATTGAAATTGGATCCTGAAATGTTGGATTTGTAAAAGTTGTGATTATAATGTATTTTTACCTTCTAAGAGTCAACTTTGGTCTGGCTTTAATTAGTTTAGCGGGGAGTTGGATGTCTGAATTTTATGAATATAAATCTTGCAGCATTTAGAGCATCGATGTACTTCCATTAGTTACTCTTACTCAAGGTTGTCAACTTTTGGTTTGCGGGAATTGTACATAAATAAGGTTGATCTTACAGCAATGTGTACTAAAAATCACCAGGTTTGAAAGGTTTCAGATTATCAGAAAAAAGAAATAAAAAAGGTTGTCAATTTTCGTTCTTAGCATTTGATTTTTTCCTGCAGTGGAATGAATCACCACCACATTAATCACCTGTTATGTTTTGGGGATAGTGCTGTGAAAATGTATATAAATTTAGGAAGAAAAATGTATATATGACAAAAGCTGTAGAATTAAATATAAATCTAAATGTTTTTTATACAAAAACAGTGAAAATAGTTCAGTATGTACTTTTAGGCAAAATATAAGAAAATCAATATCACTGTTGAGATCTCAAAAAGGTAGCAACTATAATACAGGCTAAAATGGTTGAAAACCAAGGGCCCTAAGAATGGACCAAAACTTTGGTTGGTACAAATTCTCTCTGAGATCAGTTCAATCTGAAAACAGGCTGATGCTAAATGACATCATTGGTTTCACTTTCAGTGTAAACAAGAGCCTTAATTAAACTAAAGCCAAAGCTCAAAACTAGCGTACTCAGGCTTGATGTTAGTGTGTAGTGTGTGACAACTTAAAGCTTTAATAAATCTATCAACTCTGAGAAGATCAGTCTTAAATTCAATTTCGATATGAAGAATTGCTCAACACTTTCTGTCAGAAACACATAAGAACAGGTCAAGAAATGTTTAGAATAATTGCCATTGTCTTCACCAGTACGATTGCGTTGCTTGAATCTTACCACACTTGAAATGTTTTGTATTTTTTGGTTAGGTAAGTACGCACACATATTTCACAAATTGCCCATTACGGGACTTGAACCCCCTCACCTCCCCTTTTGAGGGAGGAAAGGTTATGCTATTGGGCTAAAAATGTTCCGATTCTTGAGATCCATTCATTTTCCGTTAGTTGTGACTTGTGGAGTATTTGTGTAGGAGATGGACAAAAATGAAGCTTACAAACAAACCCGGGCGTGATCCAAAGGAGCTTGTTGAGATCTACAAGAAACGTTTCTTGGTATTCTCTGTTCACTACTGGAAATTTACATTTCTTTGAAGTTGTCGTAAATCATCTACAGAGACATACAAATGGTGCTAATTTCTTCACCAATCTATTTCATTTGCAGGCGCAGCTTTGAACTACTCTGAATTCAAGAACTGGCTTCACAAGTTCCTATAGTGGCTACCTGTTTATCTTTCTATTGTATGCATGAAGTACACTGCCCGTGGTTATGTCACTTGTTATTGAAGTCAAAGTGATGGAAGTTTAAAGACCTTAGGAATCTAATACTCCTATAAATAGATAAACACACTTCTAATATTGAAGTGGGCAACTATTTTTACTGTGGATATTTGGTGCCTTGGTCTGTTAACATTTAGAATCTGTTTTTTCTTTTTCTTTTTTTTTTTCTTTTTCTTTTTTTTCTACGTAAAAATATCTTTCTCGGGAATTTTTTTTTTTTTTAGGTAAAATAATTTTTTATTTTTATTTTATGGTGCTTAGCAAAGGTTTAGGTTGAATCCATTAGTTGGAACGTGTGAAATAACTTGTCGAAAATTGATGGGGTAAGATATTTTTGTTAGGTTTTAATATTTTTTTCTTAGTAAATATTTTATGACAACCAAATTAGGGATGTACAAAAATTCGGTCAAATCGAAAATCCAAATCAGACCAGACAATTTGGTTCAGTCACGGTTTTAAATTTGTAAAACCGTAAAGATACGGTTTGGTAATGGTTTTAGGTCCTTTAAGATCGAATTGGACCGAACCGAACTGTTTAGACGGTTGTAGGATTATATTATATAAACGGTTGTAGGATTATATTATATTATAAATAAAATTTAACATATATATATGTTAAATTATATTTATAGTATAATATAATCCTACAATCCAAATCAGTTAGAAGTTTATAACAACTATCAATCATACGATCCACATATATATATGTTAAATTATATTTATAATATAATATAATCCTACAATCCAAATCAATTAGAAGTTTGTAACAACTATCAATCATACGATCCACTCTTATGTTTGGTGCGCAAGAATGGAATGAGGAAGGAATAGAATGCCAGTATGAATGGAATGAAAATGATACAAGAATGGAATGAGAATGATGTAGGAATGGAATGATCATTCTCATTCCACTGTTTGGATGCAAACAGAGAATGGAATAACAATTTTTATTCCCTTGTCTGGTTAGATCAAATAAAAAACTAAAATGAAATGATTTATAAATTAGTTTTTCCAAAATACCCTTGCTTGTAATATATCAGTTATATTAAAATAGAATAATGACATATTCTTATTATATAATAAAACTAACTTATACCAATTAATGCATTTTTATAAAATGCAAAAAAAAAAAAAAAAAAAAAAAAAAAATACAATTATCTTATAATGTGTTATGTGTGTGTGTGTGTATTTAAAAATTATCTTATAAAATATAAGACAAATGTATCACCTGCTTGTCATAAAATCAATGATGTAACAAATATTTGTTAAAAATGATCCAATATAGGTTTAAAAGAATTACTTGAATTTACATATTTACATCACCTGCTTGTCAAGAAAATAGAAATAGTCAAACCACAAAAGATAAGAAGATTTGCATTTACAATAGAAGTTTGATTACAGGTATATATTTATATATACTAGCATGTGGAAAATATATGATATACATATTATATATTATAATAAAATATATGTGTGTGTGTGTGTGTATATATATAGAGTAATATTATATGAGACTAACTTTAAGAGAAAGAGAGAGAGAGAGAATAAAAGAAAGAGAAATGAAAGCTTTTCATTCATTGCGCACCAAATCAGTATATACATGTTGCCTTTTATAGGCTTCGATTCTATCTTCCTTTGTAAGCCTTAAAATGTGATCTCATGCGTGACATTACGCATTTGGGGACCTCACACAATTATATATATATATAGCACTCTCCCTTGGGGTCCACAATACTACACTAAAAATATGCCTCGTTAAAACCTTACTAAGGAAAACCCAGTGGGACAAAACCCTAGCGAAGGTAAAAGAGTACAGTATTCTTGTGTATTTGAAAATGGTATTGCATAGATTAAAACTACCTCATTAAAACCTAACCAGAAAAACCAGTGGGACAAAACTTTGACGAAGGAAAAAGAGTACAGTATGTCAATACATTTTCAATCAATTGCTCCCCCTTATTAGTTCAACCCTGAAGATCCTTTAGTTGACGCATTCTAATATTCTGCATCAGTTTCTTGAATGTTGTAGTTGGAAACATTTTAGTGGATAGATCGGCTAGATTTTCACATGAACGAATCTTCTGAATATTAATATCACCCTTTTTCTGGCATTCATGCGCATAAAAGAATTTTGGTGAGATGTGCTCGGTTCTGTCACTTTTAATATACTCTTCTTTCATCTATACAATGCATGCCGCATTATCTTCATATAATACCGTTGGGCTTTCTTTTATTGATGAAAGATCACATGTTGTTCGAATATGTTGGATCATTGATCTCAACCAAAAGCATTCCCTACTTGCCTTATGAATTGTGAGTATCTCAAATGATTTGAAGAAGTTGCAATCATTGTCTGTTTCATAGATCACCATAATATAGCAGTGCCGCCACAGGTAAACACCTATCGTGTTTGTGAATAAGCTTTATGTGGGTCAGAGAGATAGCCGACACCTGTATATCCAATTAATTGAGAATTTAGTGCTTTTGAATAAAACAATCCCATATCAGTTATGCCACAAAGATATCGCAATATGTGTTTGATTCCATTCCAATGTCTGCGGGTTGGTGCATAACTGTACCTTGCTAATAAACTGACTGAAAAAATAACGTCAAGTCTTGTGCAATTTGCAAGATACAAAAGCACACCAATAGCATTAAGATAAGGCACTTCAGGACCAAGGAGTTCTTCATCATCCTCTCGAGGACGAAAAGAATCTTTCTTGATGTCAAGTGATCGGACAATCATTGGAGAGCTCAATGGATAGGCTTTATCCATATGAAAACGTTTCAGAATCATTTTTGTATATGTTGATTGATGGATGAGAATACCGCTCGAAAAATGTTCAACCTGTAGCCCAAGGCAGAATTTTGTCTTTCCTAGATCTTTCATTTCAAATTCTTTCTTTAAATAAGTGGCCGTCTTTTCAATCTCGTCCAGTGTTCCCACAAGATTCAGATCATCAATATATACTACAACAATAACAAAACCAGATTCTGATTTGTTCATAAAAATGCATGGACAAATATAATTGTTCATATACCCTTCTTTGAGTAAGTAATCGCTAAGGTGATTGTACCACATTCGTCCAGATTGTTTTAATCTATATAAGGATTGTTGTAATTTTATCGACTACATACTACGTGGTTTTGTTTCAGGCATTTTAAATCCTTCTGAGATTTTCATATAAATATCACTATCTAGTGATCCATATAAATATGTTGTAACCACGTCCATCAGATGCATATGTAATTTTTCTGTAACTGCCAAATGTATTATGAATCTAAACATGGGTGCATCGATCACAGGGGAGTATGTTTCCTCATAATCAATACCAGGTCTTTGTTAGAAATCTTGAGCTACCAGTCGGGCTTTGTATCTCACGATTTCATTTTTCTCATTACGCTTTCGTTCAAACACTCATTTGTACCCAACAGGATTAACACCCTCAGGTGTCTGGACTACTGGTCCAAATACTTCACGTTTAGCTAATGAATTTAGCCTACTTGTATCTCTTCTTTCCATTTTGGCTAATCATTTTTTCGTCGACATTTTTTGACGTTTTGAGGTTCCGAATCCTCATTATCAATATCAAGAGTAACGACATATGAGAATATGTTGTCGACAACAATTTCATTTCTATTCCATCTCGTTTCATAATTTAGTGAGATCTTATCATTTTCAGGTACCTTTGTCTCATCAAGAGCATGTGCCTCATCAAGGGCCATATCATACGTTGCTTTGTCTCATCAATATTTATTATTTCATCATTTTTAGGTACCTGAGACTCATCAAGAGCCTCTGTCTTATCAAAGGCTATTATCTTAGATTGAGCAATAATATATGTTGCTCCTTTTATGGCCTCTTCAGGAGTGCCAGCTTTTCTTTGTGATTTTCTCTTACGAGAAGCAGTATCTTTTGCACCGACTGGTCTGCCACGCTTCAGGAGTATTTTAGATACATTTTCTACACTGCTAACAGTAGGTCCCTTAGGGATATCAATTCATGCTATAATATTTGCAGCTGATATATGTAATTTTATTATTTTCTTTGTATCAGTAAATGCATCAGGCAATTAATTTGCAACATTTTACAAGTGAATGATCCTCTGAACTTCTTACTCACATTGATTTGTACGATGATCAAAACGAGACAATTACAGGGTATTCCAAGTAATATCACGTTGCTGCTGTGCCTTTTTCCCCCTAATGGTGGGAAAACAGTCTTATCAAAATGACAGTCAACAAATCGTGCTTTAAAGATATCACCTGTCGGGGGTTCAAGATATCTAATAACAGATAGAGAATCAAAACTAACATAAATTCCAAGTCTACGTTGAGGACCCATTTTAGTGCGTTGGGGTGCTACAATTGGAACATATACAGCACAACCAAAAACTCGTATGTGAGAGATATTTGGTTGTTGACCAAAAACAAGTTGCAATGGTGAGTACTTATGATAAGCAGTTAGTCATATACAAACTAATGATGCATCATGTAATATGGCATGTCCCCAAGCAGAAACAGGTAATTTTGTTCGCATAAGCAAAGGACGGCCAATTAACTAAAGTCTTTTAATAAAAGATTCGGTCATACCATTTTGAGTATGAGTGTGTGCAACAGGATGTTCAACATTAATTCCAACTGACATGCAATAATCATCAAAAGCTTGAGAAGAAAATTCAGCAGTATTATCAAGACGGATTGTCTTAATTGGGTAATTAGGAAAGTGTGCCCGTAATTTGATGATTTGAGTAAGAAGTCTAGCAAATGCAACATTACGAGTAGAAAGTAGACAAACATGTGACCATCGTGTTGATGCATCAATTAAGACCATAAAATAACGAAATGGTCCACAGGGTGGATGAATTGGCCCACATATATCCCCGTGAATTCGTTGTAAAAATGGGGGAGATTCAACAATGACTTTTGAAGGGGATGGTCTGATAATCAACTTACCTTGTGAGCAGGCGATGCATAGATGACTATTTGGTAAGATGATTTTTTGATCCTTTAGTGGGTGTCTATATGAATTTTCAATAATTCAACACATCATTGTACCCCCCGAGTGACCAAATCGATCATATCAAAGCATGAAAAGATTTAGGTCACAGAATTTTTTATGTATCACAGCATTTGACTCAATTATCCTAATGATTGTA